TTTTTTTTTTTTTTTTTTTTTTTTGTTATGAAATTGCAAGTGAAGAACCAATGGGTAAAAAAAGAAGTACAGTATTGGCTGGAGATGTACAACTAAAATCATTGCCAAGTCACTAAAACTATGTACCAATCCGTTACGCTACGCCTATTGCCACATAGGTATGGCGACTTAAAGCATACGTTGAATATGTGTAATGTGCGTCTAGGTGCATTACGCATATATATACATATTCATTTTATATTGCAATAATTCTCTTGATGCATTCACGGTGTTGTACACGAATTATATAGTGATGCCGTCAATGTGGCAGCAGCCTTTATTCCCATGACAGGCTGTCGTTTTTGTTGTGTGTTACTGCTGTTGTTCCTATATTAGTGCTGCCTTTTGTTTAGTGTTACGGCTTTTAAGATTACATACATAGATGTTAATATATTTGTAATATTTCTGTGTACATATATATGCACTACATACGTACATAAATAATATATATATATATATAATATATATATATATATATATATATATATACATACATGCATAAATATGCATGCATATACATATATTATATAGGTTTGTGTACATATATATCTGCATGTAGACACATAAACATGCATATACACATATACATACACATACACACACGTCTACACATATACACGCACAATACACACATATAATATAATATATATATATAATGTATATAATATATATATGTGTGTATTTAATATATGAATACATATATATGTTCTGTTCTAGAGAATTTTTCAAGTATGTATCCGTTAGTTTTGGTTTTGATGTTTATATAACGTTTTTACTGTAATCTTCATGCAACTGCTACACATGGTTACATACATTTACATACGCATACCCATAAATGTGAATATAGAATATTTATATATTATAGGTTCTATTATAAATACTGCTGGGGAATGGGAATTCACTAATCTTGTCATTGTGACTGTAACAATCATAAATATACATCAAACTTTCCATTATATATATAAGCGGTTTTAAACAAGGCGACCTCTCATCCTGTCCATCCGCCTTATCTTCATTAGAACGCTCTCTAAATCTCTCTCCGTCTCCCTCTCTCTCTCTTCAGTATTTAAATTAAAAATATGAAACTTTCATGGTGAATATCCTTGCTGCAATTTTCGTATTAACCACATGTTCAGTGAAAGGCAACAATTTTGCCGCAAGACAGGCATAAGAAGACTTACATTTATATTTGAAGGAAACTTATGTTTGTGTATCTACCACCACCTTAACGAAAGACGGAAAGCATTGAACATTTTTTTGTTTTTGTTGGATTAATAGGAAGTTTTGAATTTTCTGAAATGTGGAGAAAACAACCTATTACCCGGAAGGAAATTATCACTATGAAAGCGTTCCGAAAAGGCTATCTGGATCAAATAAATCCCTGCTAAGTCGTTGCAATATAATATCTTATTCGATTATACCTAACATCTCTCTCTCTCTCTTTAAAATTAAAATTTAAAAAAAAAAATTCTTTCCTAATAAAAATAAATACTTTAAGTGTAGCTTCATCCCCGTAAACTGTATTCAAATGGATTTGGGCTTAAGAACGATTCGAAAGTTGAAAGTGCTTCGGCCAGCAAATTAAAATGTTGGACAGAATTTTAAATTTTCTTGCCGTTCTTTTTATCCTTTTGCAATCCATAAAGCATTCTTCCCTTTTTGCGAGTTTTTTCTCCTTTGACAGATGCGATAAAAATTGGCGTTTCTTAGAAAAAAATCTTTAAGGGACGAGAGTGACGAAGTACATTTTTGTGATCCTGAAAGTGTACACTAACTGCAAAAAGCTCATAAAACTCATTTATATTAATAAAAAAATGTGTTGTCTGCAACATAAATCAAAACTTTCAACCGCCTTTAATTTTCATTCTTATATTTGCAAAATTTTTTACAATAACTTGAAATTAACATTCTCCAGTTAATTTAATAATTTTCTTCATTTTTATTTTAAAATTATTGAATAGAACCTGGAAAAGAACGATCGGGTGAAAAATTTAAATAAATTATAAAACTTTGTAATTGAACAAGACCGCTTTTTACATAATCTACACCACTTTACTTTTATATGAGAGAAATTCAAACGTCTCTCCCATCCAATGCAAATTTCGCCGATCGATTTAGTAGTCCGAAAGCAATATTTCCTCGATTTTTGTCGAAAAAAGACTAAAAAATCGCAATCTTTTTTTCTTATATAGAAGAAAACAACATTTTTCAAAATAGTGCTTCACATGGGCAATGGTAGCAAAAATGATCCGATCGATTCTGTTTTCTATAGCGTTTACTTTCAAAACCTGATTTTATCAAAAAGCATTAAAAACTGCAACCTATAGCTTGAACATGAAGTTGCCTAGATATAATAAAAGTTGGATTCAGCTTTGCATAATCTTATATTAATTTATTAGGTCTTTCCACGTATTTTGGCCATTTGTTCAGTTGAAAAACGCATTTATTGTGGAAAATAGGTACGATGTGTGTTAATCAAAATAGTTTCCATCATTTTCTACAACATTGTACAATATATTTGGCAACATGGCAATATCATGTCGAAAGAATGTATTGGTCTGGCAGCGATCCACCCAGCGACTCATTTTTGCACTTTTTCTACTTTGCGGATCCGTGCG